AATCATCTTCCATAAGGTAGGTATCCACCACTCAATATAATGGATCCAGGAGCATTAATATCAACTCTCTCTTTTATATCTCTCCACGAGGTCATGTTTGGGAATGAAAGAAAAAATCATGGTGCAGCCAGTTTTTTTTTTATAAAAGTATCCAACAATTTAATAAAGATTTACACTCACAAAAAGGGTGTCTTCACCGACACCAGTATAACAGCATAAAACAGCAAATGGCTTTATAACAGTCTCCTGTTCCCCGTACACTCACTACAGCGCTCGTGACTTAATTTTCTCCACAAACGTCAGCATCCAGCAAGCCCTACTAGTTTCGTCATGAATGACGTCTTCAAGGGGCGGACCGGTACAATTTCTTTGAGAGCACCTGAATTTTGAAAAGGATTTATTTGGACATTTGAAGAAATTCAGAATTGGACATCTTTTTTTTTTTTTTTTTTTATATTCACAAATTTAATTATTTAAATTACTTATGCACTAAAAAATTTTTTTTGCACATAATTTTGATATTTTTTGATATTAATTGAGAATAGATATATATATCTTTTGCACTAATGTTTCTACACTAAATTAGGAATAGTTTTGTGGTTTTAGCGCATTCCTTTATTTAAGTTATAGCACTAAGAAATTTATTTGGTTTCTTTGAGGTGGAATTGCTGCTTTAAAAGTATTAAGGGTGTGGCGCTTTTATTACACTTGTGACAATATTATATCCATTTGGGTAAAGTATTAAATATGCAATTGCATTGAGTAAATAGTTACCAAACATGCCAAGCCTTAAATTTGCACACACCCATGGAATCACAAAAAAATTATTTTATCCAAAATTGTACATAGGAAACAGTTTAAAAGCCTTTACAGGTCATCATTTTGGAGTCTGCCCTAAAATTAATATTGTTCTCACACCAACGTTCGTGACAATGCCTCACATACTGTAGATGGTGCATTGATGTTTACATACATGTCCTAACCTGCGCTGCACTTTTTATATGGAGTGTGTATGGTGGGTGATGGGGGTGCTATATACAAATTCTTGTAGTTATTTTTATTTATTTTATGTAATTCTTTTTTTTTTTCTTTTTTTTTTACTTTGTTACTAGCACATGGGCCAGGGACAGGTATGCTTTTTGGAGACATTGGGGGTCTAGTAAACCCCCAATGTCTCCCCTGCCCTCCAATGAGCTATTCAAAAACAAACAATGATTGAACAGCTCAGCTGCACTAGGCAGCTGTCATGTAAATACACGTCGCTTCTGGGGTCATTAGTTGCAGGAAGGATTAGGGAAAGAATGTTTCTCTTGATTTCCTTCGGCATTCACTGGGAAAGCTGTTTCCCATGGTCCCAGGCTCCCTGGGGGAACAGGAGAGCCCGGGAAACACTGCGGGGATGCTTCTTTGAGAGTCCCTTAAAAGTGATATAGAGTTGCCTGATCACATTTACCGGAAAGCCCCTTGCCACCTCTTAAAGCTGGTAACAAGCTTCACAGCTGTATGGCCTTTCTGCAGGACCCTGACACACTGATCATAGGTGCAAATGCTTTGCAGGCTCTTGCTGGGAAAAGTAATAAATGCACATTTGTGTTCTGCAAAAATTTGTAGGTTTGTTTGTTTTTCGCAAAAGGTGAACTTAGCCTTTAAAATGTTACTAAACCCAGGACCCTGCATTCATTATATCAGGTCTCCCACAGTACACAGAACTTATAAATGCAATTATTTTAGTAAATACAAACTGCTAAATACCTTTTATCATCAGCAGTTAGAACACTCATGTGACTTCTATCAGTGTCCAGTTAAGCACTGGTTAAAGCTTGTAGGAGGAGTTTTCATTCTCCTCTGATTGGCCAATGAGGCTGCAGGACCCCTGACACTCTGTCTAGACAGCGCTGATTGGCCCTATGCTGATCACATGCATTCTCCCTAGAAAAAAAACTCTAGCAATACACACCAAACTGAGCATGTGCAGCTTGCCCCCAAGACACTGTTCTTTCAGGAAATGGATTGGGGACAGTAGAAAAAGGGGAGGATCAGAGAACACAGGATCCAAAATCTTTTTTACACAATGCGAAGGATTAACCCCTTAGGTTCCACAGTGAGTATAACAAACATCCTTTACTGTATATACAGACTGACTTTACTGTTGTGGGTTTAGTAACACTTTAAGTTTCAATACTCTGCACTCTGGCTTTGACCTTGTGCACACTAGGAGGGAGGTATTGAATCAATTATTAGAGCAGAGGAATTAATACACTGTGAAAGTCTGAAGATTAGCAGAATCCTTTTTTGAATATGCTATTTCAGAAAATTAAAGTTACTTTGACAGTTTATACCTTGGGTGTTTTAGACTATGCCAGTTTTGCCAGGTGAACGTATCCTTTAAAGCAAATGGCGCTGCTGCCACAAAATAATGCATTTACAAAATGTATAAGCTGTGATGTTCCTTTTCTTTGTGGAGAAGAGGTTATTAGAGAAATGTTCATTTATCATGAGGCCGAGCTTAGAGACACAGCAGGCTGTGGTCAGTGGGGTGATGCAGTCAATTAATTCCACTGAGTAAACCACAATGACTGTTAATAAAGATTTGACATTACAGTGAGGCCATGTATATAGTGAGCAGGTAGAGGTAAGACAACATGATTTTTGTAAGTGCATTGCTTAACAAAACCAAAAGATTTTTCCAGGCATGTGTCATTCAGTTCAATTATTGTTCACTTAATGCAATTAGTCAGGTTAAGGGTTTGCACACGTACTAATTTATTTGTGGGAATTTTGAAAAATTTATTTGTGATATTTTGAAAAAGATAATAAATATAAAACATGGCAATGCACATGATTCGTGTGTATTTTGGAAATGACTTATTTTGGTACTCCAAAGCCCATAATGGATATTTCCAGGAAAAAAAACTTCCAGTAATTCACAGTCATAAGTGCAGGAAAGAAGTCAGGTGTTACTAAGGGTGCCAGATAGACCAATTCGTATGTACTTCTTTTCTTTCTTTTCTTGAGCAATCGCAGACTGGTCATATTGAAAGTTGTTACTGAAAACAACCTGCTAGCGAATAAACTGTTTGATCGTTCTGTCAGGGCCTCTATGAATTTAATTTAGAACAGATGGTTTTTATGATTTAAATCATAACATGAATTGTGAAGTAGATAATATACTGTGTCTTCTCAATGAACCAACCTCTGGATGATCTTTTTAACACAGATAGCTAAAAGGCTCTGAAAAATTGCTGGGAAAGCAAAGTTTGCTTGGGATTCATGCTAAGCAAATCACATCTAATCTATGGATATTGGCGGTAATTGTCATTAAAGGAGCTTAAGTCTCCCCCCCAAAAAATTAAAAGTCAGCAGCTACAAATACTGTAGCTGCTGACTTAAATATAAGGACACTTACCTGTTCAGGGATCCAGCGATGTCCTCACCCAAGCCGATTCTTTAACAATTTGCCCTCCAGAGGATTTACCTCCTTCCTGCCCAAGCCATTTTTTGCGTTGCAGCATCGCGCGTTACTTTAACTGACAATTGTGCGGTCATGCAATGCTGCAGCCAAATGAAATTTACGTCCTTTTTCCCAAGAACTGAGCTTTCTTTTGGTGGTATTTGATCGCTTGTACGGTTTTTATTTCTTGCACTATAAAGAAAAAACCTGACAATTTTGAAAAAAAAAAACAATATTTTTTACTTTTTGCTATTAAACATGTAAGTAAAAAATTTAAAAAAATCAAATTTTGTCATAAATTTAGGCCAAAATGTATTCTGCTACGTCTTTGCTAAAAAAAATCCAAATACGTGTAAATTAACCAGTTGCCGACCGCAGATAGCCGAATGACGGCTGCACTGCGGCTGGCCACTTCTGGGAGGGCATCATATGACGTCCTCCCAGAACACGCTCTCCTGCGCACCCCCGAGTGCGCACACCCGGCAATCTCCGTGATCGCTGAGTCCTACGGACACAGCTGATCACGTGATGTGGTAAAAAGCCAATCACAGCGGCCTTTTAGCTGTGATCAGCCTTGTCCAATGACACTCTGATCACCGGGAAATGCAATTGCCGGTTCTCAGCTCCACTTTCTCACGCTGTCAGATCGTGAGGAAAGTACTGCCGAGAACCGGCAGTTGTCAGAGCAGGGATCGGCACCGATCATCAGGGCACTGATGATCAGTGGCCTGATGATCGGTGCCCAGCAGTGCCACCCACTATCTCCGCCCACCTGTGCCCAGCAGTGCTACCCACCAGTGCTTATCAGTGCCACGCACCTGTGCCACCCGCCAGTGCCCATCAGTGCCACCCACCTGTGCCAAGCAGTGCCACCCACCTGTGCCACCCAGCAGTGCTGCCCACAGTGCCCATCAGTGCAGCCCAGCAGTGCTTCCAGTCAGTGCCACCAGTCAGTGCCCAGCAGTTGCGCCAGTCAGTGCCCAGCAGTTGCGCCAGTCAGTGCCCAACAGTGCCCCCAGTCAATGCCCAGCAGTGCCGCCAGTCAGTGCTGACTATCAGTACTCATCATCAGTGCCGCCTATCAGTGCTGCCTATCCGTGCCACCTCAATAGTGTTGATTATCAGTGCCGCCTATCAGTGCCCTTCAGTGCTGCCTATTAGTGCCCATCAGTGCCCTTCAGTGTTGCCTATCAGTGCCCATCACTGCTGCCTCATCAACGCACATCAGTGAAGGAGAAAAATTACCTGTTTGCAAAATTTTATAATAGAAACAAAGAAACTTTTTTTTTCGAATTTTTTGCACTTTTTTTTGTTTATAGCGCAAAAAGTAAAACACCCAGTGGCGATTAAATACCACCAAAAGAAAGTTCTATTTCTAAGAAAAAAAATTATAAAGAGTTCATATGGGTACAATCTTGCATGACTGCACAATTGTCATTCAAATTGCGACAGCGCTGAAAGCTGAAAATTGGCCTTGTAAGGAAGGGGGTATAAGTGCCCAGTAGGCAAGTGGTTAATTGGTTTATGTGAAAGTTATAGCGTTTACAAATGACGGTATAGATACTGAAATTCTTATTTTTTGTAGTAATGGCGGTGATCAGCGACTTACATCGGGACTGCGGGACTGCAGTGGGCATTCTGACACTGGGGGGAGCTGACTTGGTGTCACTGACATCCCCAGTGACACCAATACAGTGATCAGTGCTAAAAAAGCACTGACACTGTACTAATGGCACTGGGCAGGAAGGGGTTACATGAGGGGCGATCAAAGGGTTAACTGTGTGCTGTTTGACAGTAAGCTCTGTGTGTGCTTCACTGTGCACAGCCAATCATAGCAGTGTGCACGAGATGAGCTCCTCCCCGTCGGAGATCCTTGGCAATCAGCGGGCGCCAGCGAGTAATCACCAGCCAGGACCCGGTGATTGGCAGCTGCGGCCCCCTACCCGGAAATGCAAAATCACATATATATACTTAATTTGCACACCCGTGCCACCCTGTAGCAGTATATCTGCTATAGGGCGATCGGGAAGTGGTTAATTGGCTTTGGGCTTAGGCACCAGCATCTTAGGTAAGGGAAACAATCAGCGAAGCCTTCTGACTTCACAGCCTTTTTCCTACTGCGCATGTGTGACATGCGCTTTGTGAATAGTTCCACAGTCTTCTGGGAACTGTGATGCGTCCCAGAAGGTTACAGGGGGACGGAGAAGGGGCTGAACATTGCCACAGAGATCTGACTGGAAGTAGGAGCTGGTACCTGCCAAAACAAGGTATCCACTCCCCCCAAAATATAGCAATGCAATTGTTTTAGTAAATATAAACTGCTAAATACCTTTTCTCATCAACAGTATATAGCAGCCTTGCGACTTCTATCAGTGCCCATCTGAGCACTAGTTAAAGCTAGCAGGAGGGGTTTCCATTCTTCTCTGACTGTCCTATGAGGCTGCATGACTAGTGACCCTCTGTCTGGACAGTGCTGATTGGGCCTATGCCTATCACATGCACCCCCCCAAAGGAAAAAAACACTCTCTAGCAATGCACACTAAACTGAGCCTGTGCAGAGTGCCTCCAAGAGCTCTGTACTATCAGCAGATGGATTGGGGACAGTAGAAGAAGGGGAGGATCAGAGAAGGCTTGATCAAACAGCCTTTTTATACAGTGCAGAGGATTAACCCCTTAGGTTCCACAGTGAGTATAACAAGCATGCTTTACTGCATATACAGATTGATTTTACTGCTGTGGGTTTAGTGACACTTTAACAAGCCAGGAAGTTGCTCAAGAAACAACTCAAATAACAAAATTAAATTCTTGAAATATCTTCACAGATGAGACTGAAACTGTTCTATATTTCAATAATATTAAAACAAAATAAAATAATCTCTATTTCTAGTCAAAAGGTTAATGACATGATAATAACTATTATGACATTGTTTTAATATGTGTATGTAAAAGGAAAGCAAAGAAAGGGCGTGCTCTCTTTCTGCATTACTGTGGTAAAAAATGAATTTATTAAAATGCATAAAAGTGCATACTCACAAACCGAAGAAGATTTAAAACAGAGACAAAGAGCCAGTGGTAACAGTCCTAGATGACGGGAAACCCTTGATGTGGTTCTGACACGTTTCGGGAGATGCACTCCCTTCTTCAGAGCTTGGCATAATGATCTCCATAGAATGCAATTATGATTAAGATAAAATTGCTAAGACTAAATTATTCCCAGTAATCATCATTATAAGAAATGTGTATTTCATAATCAATACATTCCCAGTAGTGAAATGGGAGTAGTTTAAAGCATATACAAAATCTTTTAGAAAGTATAATTAATATTTTAACATGGGTCTCTGTGTATATAATGCCATCCCTGTAGCAAAAGTTCATGTTTAGATGGTAATATATCAAAAGATTAAAACTCACTAATAATGCCACCAAACCCTTCAGAGGAAGATATCTATATACCTGCTAAAGAAAATAACATAGCTAAATCTTTATAGGTTAAAATTGGGTTCTCTTATAAAGATTGGGTCCAATAAAGGTCATTTTCCTCCAGAGAACCTGAATATAGGGATTTCTAGTCTCAGTGCCATCTAGAGGTCAAGTCAGTTATTGATTATATCAGCAAATAGTTAATCGATAATATGATCCACCAATGAAAAGTGAGTAAATAATATCAACTACAACCTCAGGGAAGAACTGTAAATTAAATAAAGAATCTCAGGGAGACACAATACACATCAAGGGACACACATCTTCCATCTTGAATAGACATAAGATCACCATTCCTCATCATCCATCTCCATTGGGTGTCTTCATCTTGAAGTTCAGCTCTATCTTAAATAGATGCCATTTTGAAATACAAGCTCCATCTTACGTTTGATCCACCTCCACTCATTGCACACCATTTTGAAGGTTTAGTCGGCAGCCATCTTAAGGTAATCTATCCCAAGCGATCTACTCAATCTGCTTCTGAGGGTAACTAATAGTGTGCTATTATATAGAAAATTTTTGCCTGCTTAATTAATGTTCTGAGTGCCATAGTTTTTGTTGATTTCACTCACGATACCATAACACCTAGAGATTTTGGGCAGCACAGTGGCTACATGGTTAGCCCTTCTGCCTGGCAGTACTAGGGTCATTGGTTTGAATCCCAACCACGGCACCACCTGCCTGGAGTTTGCATGTTCTCCCTGTGCCTCTGTGGGTTTCCTCCAGATACTCCAGTTTCCTCCCACACTCCAAAGACATGCTGGGAGGTGACTTTGCTCCTGTCTAAATTGGCCCTAGTATGTGTATGAAGGTAAGTTAGGGACCTTAGATTGTACACCCCTTGAGGGTTAGGGACTGATGTGAATGTACAATGTACAATATATATATATATATATATATATATATATATATGTAAAGCTCTGCGTACATTGACGGTGCTATGGAAGTACCTGAAATAACTAAATAATTAGTTTATTATATTTTAGCTGTATTGGCATAACTCGTAGACAGACTCTGCCCTTTAATTCAGCTGCAGTGGAATAATCTGGTGTAGTTGGTCAAACACAGATTATTGTCTGCCAAGTCTAGTTAGAAATCATTTGGGGAATCCACAAGGTGAAATTAATTACTTGATTCATCCTTGTCCATACATATTTTAGCAGGGTAGATTGAAGAATTAATAGTGAATATACAGTTAGATCCATATATATTTGGACACAGGCACAATTTTAGTTTTTTTTCAGGTATTTATCAAAACATATTCAAGCTATAGTTATATAATGGATATGGGCTGAAAGTGCACACTCTCAGGTTTAATTTGAGGGTATGTACATCCAAATTGGAGGAACGGTTTGAGAATTACAGTTCTTAAAATTAGCTACCCCCCCTTTTTCAAGGGACCAAAAGTAATTGGACAATTGAATATATTCATAAATAAAATGTTCATTTTTAATATTTTGTTGAGAATCAAAACTGTAATTTCAATGTCTGTGTAACATGATCAAATATGGCTGTTAATGGTGTTTAAGTGACTTATTGTAAAATAAATCTTTATTTTTTTAGTTTCATAGTCCATGCATTCACATAATTTTATTGTGCATAAAGAATATTTGTATAGAGCAATGAATCTCAGGAATAATTAATCGGTCCGCTTACATTCATTGCAAACAAATACAACAGCCAAATAAAAGCAACTGAAAGAAACTGATGTGTGTTTACATACATAAGGGGCCGCCAGACACTTGGAATGACAGCTCCGGGTTGTTGTTAGGCGTTATTTCTGGAGGTCGTGTCGCCATTCTGAGTGTCTGGCGGCCCCTGTGTAAGTGAACACACAGGGATTGCTTTGCTTTTAGTTGGCTATTGTATTTGTGTATATATATGTTATTAAAACTACTACACTATGAGAGATTTGTTGGTGGTTATTGGAGGATGAGAGTGCATGTGCTGACATCTGGTGGAGCGGGATATGAGGATATAATCAATTTTCCTGACATATGGAAGGATCGCTCCTTGGGAATTTATTATCATACACGTGCTATTGCTGTTTTATTTTTAGTCCTCATGCACACTTGACGTTTTTACAGCTGCTGTTTTTGGCTTTTGATCAAACAGCCTTTTTGGCTTTTCACATTTTTTTCTACAGCTAATAAACCCCCCAGCATGTTATCCTATGTGTCCATGCACACACAGACTGTAATCAACGTTTTTTGGCTGGAAAAAAAAACCTAGGACTAGTGCAGCAATGGGCAAACTACGGCCCGGCGGACCTTTTAATCCGGCCCGCGGAGAACGTGAGGGGAGCTAGGCTCCTCTCACAGTCCGCCCTGAAGACCGGTGTAGCATGAAAATCTGTCTCCTATGAGGATCTGTCCCCCTCGACGTATCTGCGCATGTGCCGGAGATCGCCGATCGGCTGCTAATGCCTGAAACTGGCACATGCGCAGATACGTCGAGGGGGACAGATCCTCATAGGAGACAGATTTTCATGCTACACCGGAACGGCGCGGGAACACGGCGAGAGGAACGCGCGGAGCGAAGGTAAGTGAATTGACACAGGGGGAACTTGGGGACTTAATATGGGGGATGAATTAATATGGGGAATGAATTACTATATGGGGGATGAATTACTATGGGGGATGAATTACTATATGGGGGATGAATTACTATGGGGGATGAATTACTATATGGGGGATGAATTACTATATGGGGGATGAATTACTATATGGGGGATGAATTACTATGGGGGATGAATTACTATATGGGGGATGAATTACTATATGGGGGATGAATTACTATGGGGGATGAATTACTATATGGGGGATGAATTACTATATGGGGGATGAATTACTATGGGGGATGAATTACTATGGGGGATGAATTACTATATGGGGGATGAATTACTATGGGGGATGAATTACTATATGGGGGATGAATTACTATATGGGGGATGAATTACTATGGGGGATGAATTACTATATGGGGGATGAATTACTATGGGGGATGAATTACTATATGGGGGATGAATTACTATGGGGGATGAATTACTATATGGGGGATGAATTACTATATGGGGGATGAATTACTATGGGGGATGAATTACTATATGGGGGATGAATAATTACTATGGGGGATGAATTACTATATGGGGGATGAATTAGTATGGGGGATGAATTACTATAGGGGGGATGAATTACTATAGGGGGGATGAATTACTATATGGGGGATTAATTACTATGCTTACTATGGGGGAATATTACTATACTTACTATGGATGACACATACACATCATTCATCTACTCTTGGTCCGGCCC